GGTTCAGCGCTAGCTGCCCTTAATGAATCATCAGGATCAGAGATGTTTTCATTAGCCATTATTCTCTTAATAATACTTTCATAAATAAAACTAAACTCAAAAATAATACTCTTTAAATTTTCCCAAAACAATATTAAAACCAAAATACATCCTTTAAATACCAAATTTAAAAAATACATTTATACCAAAATAATACTTTTTAAAATTTTCAAAATAAAAACACTATTATTAAATCAGTAATTATAATTCAATAGTAATAATATCATTTGCATCGCCAATCTTTTTACTAATTGCTTCTGTTTGACTTATTGTGACGAGAATACGAGTGATGAAATCGACACGAAAATACACATTTTTGTGCACTCTTGATTAGATTTTCGCAAAACACGATCAATCACCACACAAGCACAAAGCTCTCGAGAGCAACACAGAACGGCGTAGACGTAGGGAAAGATTTCCATCCTCAAAAGTAGGTCAACGGTAAGAGCACATTTGATGAACGACGAACTTTCGATGGAAACACAGATCACGCATCACAGGGGGCAGAAGGATGCTTCTCTGGACGTAAAATAATCTGCAGAATACCAGAATACAGGTAACAGAAGGATGATTCTCTTGAAGCAAGAACGCCTAGAGAAAAATGTAGAAACATAGAAGTCGCACAGCGGCAAATTCATCTAAAGTGCATAACATTTTATCCGTATAATCCTTGGGGTATCTTCTTTTTTAGATAATCCCTTTGAAGGTGGTATCCTGTCGACTTTCTGAAATGTAATTTCTCATACATTATTTGTTTTGTGCAGCCGGGGCAACAGGAATGAAATATAAAGTGGTAGGTTTATTTCAGCATCCATCTCACAAGCGTTCTCCTCGTACCTTCAGCCCTATTTATACCTATGTGTGCGCCACGAGGCTCATCCAATCAGCGATATTAATTGAAATCACGAGGTGACGCTATCTTCTCATCAGGAGTGTTCTTAAGGACTTTATGTAATATGACAGATTTATGAGTTTGGCGACTTGGCGGGCGCCAACAGGTTAATATATTTTTTATACTAAAGAAAGGATTTCGCCAAAATTTAGGAACAGGGATGCAATTTAGGTAGAGAATCGCCAACACATTATTAAGCAATATTAATAGAATTTAATTTAATCAATTGATTTAAAAATATCATTATATATATATATATATATGTATAAATATATATACATAAAAATAATTTGCAAGAGTATCAATGACAGAAAACCCTATTCAGCACCAATTTCAGTGCTATTCCGATTGTGATTATTCTATCAATATGGCATACTGCTTTTATTACCTATAAAAATTTTAAATAAATTGGCTTATTTTATGCAAATGTGTTCTAAGAGATATTCTTTTGGGAATTTATTGATTTTTCCATTATGTAATGATAAATATTTTCAGCTAATATGCTTCCTTTTAATAGATGAAATTTTAATTTAGTTAATTACTTAATTGCTAACTCAATATATTGCATGATATTAATACGAATGGCAAACCATTGAAACCAAATACCAAACAAATGATGATTTGTTTAAAACTGCTGAATAAAATAGGAAAATTGACAGTATAACTGTTTTAAAAGAATTGTGATTTCAATCAATTTCACAGTCACCTTAAAAATACATAAATTATAAAAGTTCTCTCTCCTTCGTTAATTTACAAATCAGACATATGAACTGGGCAGTGTAATTTTGTGTATTATAATAGAGATAGCAGTTGATAATTACATAAATACTAAGTTCTCACTACCCTTTTTTAAATGCTATTCCAAACTTTCCAGCTATTAGTCTCTTTCGGACAGCCCAATAATGTCTTAATGAAGGCAGAAAGGTGACATCATCCATAGAATTACTGTCCACAATGTCAATAAAATCAGAGCAATTGTACAGGTGATCCCTAGACATGATAGTCAAGCCACATAACGAACACATTAATGAATTGTCTCCATTGCACCCATACAATGGAGATGTTTTGTCAAATAGTTATTGCTAGTTCTGAGGCACAAATTTGCTACATCTGCATCTCTAGAAAAATAATGGGGAACAGGAATTTTTCAATAAAGAACACCTTCCCAGCTAGAGGGAAGGTTCAAGATAAGGTTTCACTGATGTAGACTGATGCTGTTTGAAAGAGTCTATTAATAGTATAGAAGTCAACAAGGAAGTGTGACTGAAATGAGTCCGATCCGAACTTGGTCAAGCCATGCACCAAGTTTAGGTCATTTCCAATTGTTGGGTATTGTAAAAAATGTGTCCTCTGCTTTCCAAAAGAAAGTAAGGAATAACCTGGGAATCAAACAGTCATTTTTTACCACTAAGGGACACAGAAGATAGTGCCTTACTGGCAGTCTGGAAGTCAATAAAGATAATATTTGACATAACTCTCTTGCTAATTTTCTCAAGAGCTAAAAAACACACAGATTTTTGGAATGAAACAGTGTTTATTACAATAGTATTTAAATTTTAAAAGATAATAACATTTTTTTAAAAAATAAGTTCACAAAGTTCAAGTGTCAACAAATCTCATGACCAGATTAAAGCAGTTATGCAATTCATAAAATTAAATAAGGAAACATTAGATGGTGGTCTTTTATTATTCATATATTTCACATTATTAAAAAAAGCATAACCATCCATTAAACTTGTATTTTAAGATATATTTAAGAAATCTTGACTGTAATTTCCAACACCATCTGTTAAACTTGCATTTTAAGATATATTTAAGAAATCTTCATTTTAATTTCCAACACCACCTTAAGTTTCCTATTTAAATTGGCTATTTCCACTTTTATCCTAAAAAGATAGCATGCTTATAATGAATCCTTCTTAACTGCATCATTTCAAACTTAAAGCTTGTGATATGATTTTTATGTAAAACTAATAAAGCAAGTACTTACACAATGCTTCAAAAATTACAACAGAATTTGCAAAATGAAAACTAAATTAACTAATAAGAATATAAAGTGAAGGAGATACTACACTTTGATCTAGCCAAAAGGCTGACCAAAACTGCATCATTCTTAACCTAACCTTTGAACTATTATCTTCACCCTTCTGTACTACCCTGTCCTCCGAGCTTGCTGTTGGCACTTTTCTTGCTTACATTAAAAATGTGAAAAGTTGAAATAACTGCTACATCTTTATAGCTCCAAGATTCGAAATTATGCATCTGTGTCAATCACCAACATCATTAAAATGCTCATTTCCCTCTCACATACATATTAAATTTAAATATATCGATAACTTCAAATATATCATATTACACAGGTTTAGCAGACAACTTAAAACATGATAAATTTGAATAAAAATTAGACTTCAGTAAAGGAATTTTTAAAAAATTTTCTGTGATACAAAAATTAAACAGGAGAGTTTTAAAAAGATATCAGTTACAAAACACGTAATAATAATTTTGCTTGGCATTAGATTGTTTTGGTTTCTGGTGATACATGTGTATTGCAAAACACTTGGTCAAGATACTAAAATCTTGTGTTGTCATTTCATTCACAGAAAGTCTGAATGAATATCACTACCCAACTAATTGAAATTTTCTGCATGAACTTTTGTTCAGCAGCATCTCAGGATTAATTGTGAGAGCCAACATCTAGTCTGAATCAATTTCAATATAAGAAATTTTAAAGAATTTCTTTAAAGCTGAAAGCCAAAGCTACTTAGCCACCCTGACAGCCAACTGTTGAGTTCTTGCTCATTTGATGACATCTGGTTGACAAGTGTTGGCTAATTAATATTTCAGCTAGCTAACCTGCAAACTCTCCTTCTTAAAGTTGGGGAGCGGGGAAATTTAATGTATAAGAACAGAGAGATTTCATGATATCAACTAGATGCAGGCAGACAAAAGGGTCTGGTATACACCAGTTTTAAAGCATGTCATATAGTGAATGGAGAATTTCATGAAGAATTCCTTCATGTAAATGTAAACAAAATAGCTAGCACTTGCCATATAACTACAGCATACATAATCGGTTTTATATAAATATTCACAGAGTCACAATGATATTTCCTCCTTCAAAGCTTTATAACATTGTTTATACTAATTGTAATAACTGTAATTTATAGCTCATATATTTTCCTTTGTTTTTATGTGCATTAAAACCTGAATAAAAATTTTCCCAAGAATTCTGATTTTTGTTATTTTGAAATAAAACTCAAATGATGTAAACAAAATGTTACTGTATATGAAATCTAAGAAATCTAATTCCATGAGATCAAAAGTACACATTTTTTTTTTTTTATTTTTTTTTTTTTATAAAATTTTACTAGTTATTAAGGTCGGGGCCAAGGGTATCCCCCATTCTTAGGAAGACAGTCCTCACATGCTTTGCCATATTCAAGTAACCTAAGCTAATCTAATATTTAATATATATAACTAATATCTAATTATTAAATATTATATTAAATATTATATATTATTATTATTATTAAATATTAGATTAGTTTAATATATATAACTAATTTAATATATATAATATTTAATAATAATATAAAACACGAATTGTAAATACACTCTTTTGATGCTCTTAGTAGTTCTGAAGTCAATTACTAACTATTCAATTAATTTTAACTGGCTTTTCCTCTTAATACCTAATTAAAAAGTTTCTAATTCCTTTAACAAAACTTAATACATGCATGTACATACTTTTGGACCTTAAATGGAGGGACCCCCATACAGTTCATCTTTTTCTTAGTTAAAAGATATAATAAGCATTAATGATCTCAGCTTTAAGCTATTTTTGGTAGACTGAAACTTCTACCACAGCCAGATGTCAAGTTGAAAGCCTGAGCAGAAATGCTGCCTTTCATAGGTGCTAATAACAACAGCAGCAGCGAACATTATTTAAAGAATATTAAACTTGTTTAGAAAGTTATCATTTATCTGTTACATTGTTTAAAATTTATTTTCACCCACTGACAGGAATTTTTTTTTAAATTTAATACTAAATACTTTTTTAAGAACTTACAAGAGCTTCCCATTTCTGAAGATCCAACTGTTTTTCTAGTTTGAATTGAATCTTCTGGGAATTCTTCATTTCGCAAAGAAGATGAGGAACGTTCAGGTGGCATAAGATAAACATAAGTATGAAGCTGAGTCAAAAGACGATGTTGTAACATCCATATTATCATTTGAACTCGCTGAGCCTTTAACAAAATATATACATCTTCTTAATGATTTTCTGGTTTGCTTTTATTTACTATAAGAGGATTAAAACAAATGATACAACCTACTTGTTGGTATGATGAATTCATGGGACTATCCAAGCTGCTAAGGGAAACAGGCAAGGAAAACTGACTAAGCATTACCAACAAAGGGACATTTGGAAAACGCTCAGCAAATTTTGCTTCAAGTAATGAATGTCTGAAAAAGTACATGCAATAAATTTTGCTTAAAAACAACATCTATGTACACAGAATGAGGTCTTTAATATAAAAAAATCAAGATAAATATCCACAAATGGAAAATTTTACTAATGTAAAAATTCTACATACATTACTTACCTTATTACATAAATTACATCAATCTTATTGCATAAAGTTCCCTTTATACCTGTATTCTATTGGAAAAACAGCATAAAATCCCTGTAATTTTTATTAATCACCTTTGTTAGGCTTCAAGGGCATAAGAATTCAACAGTATCAAATTCAACATTCCTCTTGTAATTAAATTATTGTTGTTATTTTTTCTGAGTCCTTCAGCAAAATTTCTCAGAAACTACTGTGATCTAATTACAAAGCTTAATTATGAAAGATAAATTATTTAACTTTTTGATGGAAAATTAATCAAAGTCTTCTTTGTCTACATCTCCAAGGAAATCATACAAAAGTTTAAGAATTTAAAATTTAAAATTTGAATAAATGAAACTATTTGTTTTAAAATGCAATGGTAATTCACAATAGAATTCTGGTACTTACTAACATTCAACTTATTATTAACAATTTTAGTATTAAAAATTTCCTGTAATAATTTGTTGTAACTTTTTCTTCCAAAATTACTAACCTTTCAGTATAAGAGACACGTTATCAAAACACTTCTGTAATAGAAACAAGACTTTTTTTATTGGATTAATTTATGCTTCAGAAACTGATATAATTGAGTTTAGTGTTTGCCCCAATTTGTTTATGCGAGAACTGTACCCTCCACAGTCTGTATTCCAATTAATGAAGTCTGGCTACATTGATGATGGACTCTTAATTTAATCTCAACTGCTTGTGATGCAGAGTCGTTGCTAGGGTTTTCAGCGCCCAAGGACAACTGAAGATTTTGCGCCCTCTACTGCTTGCCAAGGATGGAAAACATTTAATTCTAAAATGTCGTAACATCAGTTTGGCGCCCCTTGGATTCTGTGCCCGGGGACAGATGCCCACTCTAGCTACGCCCCTGTTGTGATGGCAGTGCATTTGTAAACTGGGAGCATTTAAAATCTATCAAACTGAAAGCACTTTTTAGAATAATGTGGGATGGGAAACAAGACACAAGATTACAGGTTCCATTCTCCAGGATGTTTTTGATCAAAAATGAGAGAGTTATACAGACAGCCTTCATGAGTTGTACCATAATGGAATATTCCAGTCAGATCTATTTTACAACTTTGAAAATGTGCATTTATAAGGCACATTTTTTAAATTCACTGTTTATTAATTTTTAAACTAAAATCCAAAACAAAGAAATGAATAATTAAAATTACTTCCTTTAAATTATATGCATATTTAATTAAAAGTTTTCCTTTTATTGCTCAAGCAGAAATATCACTAAATCTTTTTCTGTAATAAGGTTCTTTATTTCTCTGTATTTTACTTTTTCTATGATAATGACTTCAAGAGCATTTATATTTAAATTTGTTCGAAATACAGTCCATTTTTTTAAAAGTAGAAAAAAAATTATTTTACAGGTTGCATTTGTATGAGGTTTTATTTTGTCTATAGCAAAATTCGGAAATACTGCATTCAAAAACTGCTTCGACTAGTCTAAAGTAAAAATTGAATTAAATTGCATTTGGCTTTTTTAAAATCTGTTTCATTGCCTTTTATGAAGAAATTTGATATATCTTTCACTTTTTAAGCATTAATTTCTTTATGCCTTTTAGAAAATACATGCTGTTAGCAGTCACCTTTAATGCTATATGCACTTAAAAATCTTTGTTACTAATGCAAGCTGCAAGATTTTTCATAAACTTCTGATGCTTTAATGCATGCAAATTTTGTATAATATGAGTCTTTAAATTTCTAGCTTGATAATTTTAACCTTTTATTCTGAGGTGGCATAATTCAAGAACTTAAAAAAACTTCCAATTTAATCATAACTCGCAAGAAACACGAATTACATTTTCTTTTCATAACCGAACTGGCAGAATAAACAAGCTCTTCCCTGCATGGTACTTGACTGGAAAGATAAGGATGGGAATTTTCTGAACTATAATTAAATCAACAAGGCCATCAACTTAACACATGATGCATGCAAAGCATTTCAACCATAACTGAAGGAATAAGTTTTTTCCGTTTTCCATATCAATTCCTTTGCCCTTTAAGGAATTTCCACAGAAAATGCAGTAGTAGTTGTTGGAGTAGCAGTTAGAGTCTATACGTAAAGATCACCGTAGAATACATTTTTACTTATACAGACAGCCCTCATGAGTTGTGCCATAATAGAGAATATTCCAGTCAGATCCAATTCTTCAACTTCTATAATTTTACACTTTTCTCATTTAATAAGCTTAACTTCATCTATAATACTCACATGTAAGTAGGAGCATAGGGTGATATTACATAAACATTGCTATCACACAGAGGATAAATAATTGTTGCTTTGCCCCAATAAAGTAGATGACTGACTAGTTGAAAAACCTAAGAAGAAAATTTACAAATATCAATAATGTATCACATATTTAAAATACATCAATGTATATATATACATATGTATATATTGAATAAATAAATCAGAAAATATTTTTATGTAGATCAAAGGCATGCACTTTTAGAAACAGAAGTAATTCAAACATTGCACACACCAAAATTCAAATTAATGGAGAAGACATGAAATTTTTTAATACTGTTACGAAATGTACAGGCGCCGTAAGATGGCTTCCCCGCAAAGCAGTTTTAGGGTTGCCATAAAATGGCAAAGGAGGGCAGGGTTGTCAAATTTGGCGAGAAATTGTCCATTTGGCGATATTTGGCAGCATACCATGGACGGTTGGAGAACCTTCTGGAACGAATTCTTACCGGTTTAGCCCAGAATGTTCCTGAACACAAGCCGAAAGCTATATAAATCCTGCTGGTCCACAGTCAGTTAGTGTGTGTGCCTCGTCTAGCGAGCTGATAGTCCGTCATTGAGCGAATGTCTCGAAGTCTAGCGGCAAGGTGGTCGTCGAGTGCATCGAGACAGTCTTTTAGTGCATCATCGAATTTTGTCTTAGACTGTGCGGAGTCGAGAGCTGTACACCTGTGTATCGTCGAGTGCATCGTGTGGAGAGTCTCGAGAGTACGTGGAGTTCCGAGAACAACCAAGCAGAGTTAAGAGCCGTACTCAGGTGCTTTGCAGTGAAGCTGTCTCCACCGTTATTGCCTGACAGTGTGAAGGCTGTGTCACTGATTGTTCCAACGTGTTTATAGTAGATCTTCGACGACTGTAAAAAGTGTTATTAGAGCTGTCCTGATTAACATTGGCTAAATAAAGTGTGTTTCAGTACTTCATCAAGTGTAGTCATTATTCACTCCAAATCCACAAATCCCGTCCGTGCGAACGTGAACGAAGAAAATAACGCAAGAACTGGTGTCAGAAAAAGAAAAACGTAACAATATATTAGTTTGGAAGCATAAAACATTTTGTGTCGTTATATATCTTTGTAAACTTTTCTCATTTCAAATGATACCACCATCATTTTGCCAGTTATGAAAGTATCATGCTGTTTCCTCAAATTTCATGCATTTTCAGTTGCTACGCATTAATCTGCAATATGATAATAAGCAAAAAAGTTGAGAAAACTTTTTAAAGCAATATTCAGATGTTCCACTATGTGACAAAATTACTACTCATGTCCTATAATGTTTTCGGAACAACAGAATGCGTACACAGAAAATTGATAACCATTTGTTTAAAATGACAGTAAAATGGTATAAATTGCAAAGCAAAATTACACTTTATGACCATAAAAGGTTTGGCCCATAAAAGTTTTAAAATTTTGAATTAACATTTGTCTATTGATTCACAAGGGCAAAAAATATGCATTAAAAAAGGAGAGGGGGGGAAAGAAAAGAAATGCATGATTTGATCATTTGAAAAAGTTTGTTCAATTCAATATTGATGATTACAGCAATATGAATGAGCAAGAAAAGTTAATATATGTAAGGTCTACCAGAAACCTTTAGCCCATAATGTTATTTCAAAGTATGTGCACATGTTCATTTGAGATATATATGGATGCCTCTCTTTACAAAGCTGGCATTCACATACACGTGCTCTTCTAATTAAACTGAAACAAAAGTGTCATATCTGATTATTAAGAGAGAAGCGATCATGAAAACATGTTTCTGATAAAATTCAGTTAGACACTATATTTTATACGAATTCCAACAAGGAAGTAATGCCACAAAAGTATGTAGAAATTTAGTGGAAGTTTTTGGTGGAGATGAAGTTTTGGATAGAAAGTGCAGGAGATGGTTTGAAAACTCTGAAGCAGGTGGTGATTTCAACCTTAATGATAAGCCACACTTTGGGTGGTCATATTTGATCAATGACAATACTCTCAAAACCTTGATAAAGCAAGATCACTGTTTGACAGCATTGGAGATTGTGGAAAAATTTAACTCAACTCAGCAAACCATTTTGGACAACATTTGGAAATTAGGAGTGGTTTATAAATATTCTAGATGGATGCCTCATGAGTAATGTCAAAAAAATTTGCGTGATAGAGTCTTCAAGTGTTCATCTTTGCTTGCTTGGAAGAAAAGCAAACCCTTCTTGGACCGAATGATAACTGGTAATGAAAAATGGATTACCTACATTACGAAAAGAGCATACTGTCAGACCAAGTAACCTACGTCATCCATCCCTAAAACAAGTTTGAGCCTGAACAAGATAATGCTGTGTATATGGTGGAATGTCAAAGGACTAATATATTATGAGCTTTTGAAACCTAACTAAACGCTCAATTTGGAGATATAATGTCAGCAAATTACTGATTTAAACCGAAGCAGTCAAAGAAAAGAGGCTGGTGTTATTCATTATGAAACATATTATACTGCATCATCAGAATGCCAGATCACATGCTACTTTGGTGACTCGTCAGAAAATCTCAAGAACTATGTTCAGAAATTCTGCTGCATCCACCATATTCCTCATACCTACTACTCTCCTATTACCACTTTTTTCTCTCCTTGCAAAATTTTTTGAAGGGGGGAGGAATATGAAACTGAAGCAAATGTCAGCCAAGCACTACTTGAGTTCTTTGCCACTAAGGACAAGACATCTTTCAAAAATGTTATTTACAAATTACCATCATACTGGCGAGAGGTAGTAAGTAATGGAGTTTTAAATATGAAATTATATTTCACAATAAATATTATTACAGGTATGTAAAATGTATTATTTTTTACTTCCGAAATGAACATAATTTTCTGGTAGATCTTATATTTTGTTATTAGCAAACTCAGATCTGTTTAGGTTACTAAAGATTTTAAACTATTGGGAAATCTGTAAGGATCTTAAGTTTTACTAACGTTTATTTTATTTTAAATCTTTACTATCACTTCTTATTTTCTATTTCCGGCCAGAATTAAAAGCGTTAACTTATTTATGCAAAATTTGTCTGGCGAACGCCAAGTACTTAAGTTGTGGCTTTTTGCCAAGCGAGCGAGAGGAAGGAGTTAGTCGAAGCAGGCCGCTTGCCTTAGAAGTTTTACTCAGTTGCTGTTTGCTTTCCAGGCCAGAGGTTTAATCCTCGTGATAATTTTTAAACGTATTGTAGTGTTAACAGTTCTCTGTACTACGAGGGCCATCCAGGAAGTAGATTACGTTTCCGTCTGTGTCCGCTAGGGGCGGGGCTAGCGCGGCCATCTTGGGGTCAGAGCGTTGCGCAGCTCAGTCTGCATCTAGCCGTGCTAGTGAGACGTTCGTGCTGTGCTCCGTTCAGATACTGTGACGGTTTGAAATGTCTGCGTTAATTGAAAATCCCGCGAGCTGCGCTCAGTAATAAGGTTTCTGACTGCAAAAAACTGTAAACCGATAGAAATCTATCGGCAGCTTCGTGAAGTGTATGGGGACAACATTATCACTGAAGGTGGAGTGCGTCAGTGGGTCATAAGATTTCAAAATGGCCGAACCAAAGTTCACGACGAAGATCGAAGTGGGAGACCCAGCATAGTGACCGCCGAACTTCTCGAAAAAGTCGATGCTAAAGTCCGTGAAAATCGAAATTTCACAATAACGGAACTTTCTTTGAGTTTTCCACAAATTTCGCGAAGTTTGTTGCACGAAATCATCAGCGAAAAGCTTGGTTACCACAAGTTTTGTGCAAGATGGATTCCAAAAATCTTGACAGAGGACCACAAAAATCAGCGAATGGCTGCAGCGTTGAACTTTTTGGACGCTTACCATAAGGATGGTGACTCTTTACTCGATCGCAATCGTTACTGGTGACGAAACATGGGTGAAACATGTGAACTGTGAAACGAAATTGCAATCAATGCGTTTTGATGACGACGCACAGCTGCAAGAAGAGGTAACGAAGTGGTTGAAGGCGCAGGCGGCCGAATTTTTCGACGAAGGAATTTCCAAGCTCGTACATCGCTACGATAAATGCCTTAATTTGTATGGTGACTATGTAGAAAAGTAGTATTTGAGTGTGGCTTTCATCTGTATATAATAAAATTTGTTTCCTATACTTTGTTTATTTTTTTATTCCAAAACGTAATCTACTTTCTGGATAGCCCTCGTACATACGGCTTCCTGTTAATATACGGCCAATCTTCCACGTTTATTATTCCAAAGTTAAGTTAGAGTTTAGTTTTATATTTTTATATCTTACGTTCAGACCACAAGTAGTTGGTCTCTGTATTCCGAAGTACGGAAATTATTGTAAAAGAGTGAAAAATAAAGGGTTTTGTATACCCTTCCTGTGTATCTGTCTACTTCCCACAGTTATTGAACATAGCTTTAGTAAGCTCCCTGTTCCGAGTCAGGTCCTTGCATGTTCCCAAGAAAGTAAGACGGAACATTGAACCTGATAGTGGCGCCCAACGAAGAAGAATAACCATGGCCGAGTTTCAAGAAGAACCTGTGCTGCCTGCAGAAGCGGCTCAGAATCCAGAAATGCCAGCTGCCGCCCTGGAAGGATTTGGTTACATCGTCCAGACCATGCGCGCTTCGATGAAACCAGAAGCAACATTTAATGGAAACTCACCGGTAACCAGTTTTTTTGGAAAAATTGGATGACCACTTCATGCTCTACCCCGTGCAGGAGTTTCAAAAAGTTACCTTAGCTACCAGCGCTTTGAGGGGCCAAGCGCTTAATTGGTTCAAAAATGTATAGGCAGAAGTCTCTTGGGTCAAGCAGGAAGTCCCACTATACTTACGAAAATTTCAAGACTGCCCCTACTAAAAGCCTTCCCTGTCGTAAGGGATCGTGCGAAATTAGAAACGGAACTTTTCAGTATATATCAACAAAGAATCGAAAATCTCTCAGCTTTATTTTAAGAAAAAATTCACGTCTTTTCAAGTCTTCAACTCTTGTATGGAAACCGTCCGGATCCTGAGATAATTCAAGTGATTTTGCCGAGGTTACTGCCCCAAGTGCAAGACTTTATTGAATTAAGAAATCCGACTACACTGGAAAAGTTATTTGAGC